CTCAGGGCATAATTCTGGTATGGCGCATACTTTGATGATCATTTTGTGTTGCACATCAAAATTATGCTGGTAGTGCAGTTGAGTCAAAACATTTTGTGTTATGAGCAACACCAGGAAAAAGTATGATGTAAACCTCCATTTTTTTTTAAGAGTGAGAAGTTAAAGGTTTTAAGTTTAAGAGTTTTTATCCACCTGACATGTTTAAGCATGATTTAATTTGCTGTTGTTAATATTTTTGCACCTCTATCCCCTCAAGAATGTTAATCAGCACACTGCTGCAATGACGTATCATCTGTATTTCCCATGATACCATTTTTATCACACTGCCTGCCAGGCATGATCTCATTTTTACATCTTTTTCTGTTTTTCATCTACGACACAATACATCTCCCAAACAAAACTCATTATGGAATAATGTATATGGCTCACTATGCCAATAACCTTACAGAATATTCATTGACAGACTTTTTCCATCACTAATCCAGTATTCCAACTACTGTTTTGTCATTTAAGTCAGACTGAGGTGTACTCTTATATATAAAATAGCCAGGATTTTTAAAACCAATGTTTTAGCAAAACAACAATTACCAGGTACATTAGTTACAGGTTTGATTCTCTGCAAAAAAACATGCACAGCTATTACACATCAATACTAGCTAGAACCAGTTCTGTCCTCAGAAATAGTGTAGTTTTACAATAAATGGTTTTTATACATGCATGCAATAGACTGTACATGCGCATTAATGCAACTTTTAAGAATATTTATGTTTTCTATAGTGTGATTCACTTTTGCAAATTTTCATACATTATTGTGCAACAAGATAATAAGAACTGGGTCACTGTGACTGTTGTGTCATTGATTTTTAATTAAATAGATAGTTTTTCTCAAGCACAAGTGGCATGCAATAAGAATTTTGGCTTTAGTTGAATAATCATGTTGTTTTAGATTCTTTTAATAATTTGCAGCATAAGGATATAAAGTTACTTCTGTTGGGAAGTAATGGATGTATTGTGCTCATATCTGACTTCAATACCTGGTCAATACCTGAATTTTATAGAAACTAAAATGAAAACGTGAATTAAATCTGGTGAGTGCTTTGATCTTGGCAGTATTTTTCATTGGTGTAATAATTATATGATAGTGCCAGATAGAATAATTTTGCTAGACTAATGCTTAAACTGTAAGCAAAGATGGTGGAGTTAAATACATATTTGATATTCTCATTATACAAAATATGTTCAACAAATTATTGATATCATCTATATGTTGAAGTAATTAGTTAATTATGATACACATAGGTGTGGTTCTGGCATAGTGTGTATATTGTGATGTATTGATAATTGTATTATGGAATCTCTATATTATGTATTGAGCCTATTAGTACATTTCTTTCTGTTTTCTTTTTCAAAGAAATAGTATGCCCAGAAGGCCAGAGATGACATTTTACTTAAAGATGTCAGCATTATTTGCTTGCCATAGGCAGGGACAAAGATAAGAAAGGTTGATTGTAAGTTTTTATAAAAAAAAGCAAGGGAAAAACTGGTGATGCTTTTATGTTTAGGTTAGCGTGACTGAACAGCGCATTAACCAATCTGACATTTACAGTTTCCTGTGTGCGGAGCTTTGGATATGTCTGAGTAATGACATTAGAACCAACCAAAGCAACATTGTTCACAAGCATTGTGCACGTAACTAAAGTTCACATGAATTTGAAACTCTCTTTCTGAAAAGTTTCTTTACTCTATCTAAGTCAATGACCATGACTTCTTAGAAGAGATCAGTTGGTTGCTAGACCAAACTTAAAACCAAACAATGTAGTTAGCCTTGTACCTTTTGAGCGTCAGTGATAAAATAAATTGCTCTAAGAAATAAAAAATGAAATATTAAGCAATTTTGAATATGATAAATTAAGAACCCGTTTATCTTGGGATGAATCCATTTAACTTATGGTGGCAATCCAATGATTGGCATTAGTCTGCTGTTTTCCAATCTGTGATGATGTCTGTCAATATCAAAGGAGGTGCTGAATAACCCACAGTATGCTGATGAATAGCATCAGAGAGCCAAACTGATCTACACATACAGTTAGACTGGGTTCCCATACCTAGATCGATCTAGCAGGATAGGTCCATCTACGGTTTCTAGTTAAATTGCTTTCAGCTTAAGTGGCTTTGATGTCTGGCATGCCTACTGAAGCTGCTAAATGATAATTAATTACCCCCTAGCAGTTTCACAAGGCATGACAGACATGTAAGCCGCTTAAGTTGATAGCAATTTAGGGAAAATCCCCTCGGAGATAGATCGATCCACAGTTAGTTCGAAAAGGGTCTGGAAATGATCCTTAAGTCCTGCATCCAGCACTTTTTAACAAAAAAATCATTTTAGATTTCTCCATGAGATAGTTAGATAATACCCCCATCCAGGATGTACTCTTCCAGTTAATTGTGCTAGACAGGTGCCAGTTTGGGGGGGGAGGGGAGCATGGGGTTCCCTGCTGTGTCCAAGCTGTTTTATTGCATACATACCTTTTGGCTCCTGAAGTGTTTCTTAGAATGATTTTGGTGAAAAATGGGTGCTAGATGCAGCCTTAGAGCCAGGATATTAGCACTAGATACTGATTGATGATGAGAGGTTCACAACCCCTTTTTATGAGGAGGGAAGGGGGTGGAAATCTTACCTGAAAGGGCTAAGCCTGGATTTCAGAAAATGTTTGGTATGAAATTGGCTGTCTTGGAAGTTGATCTTTCTGTTTACTGCATGGCTATCATCATCATCATTACTTGTAATAGAAGTAAAAGAAAATATATGCTGAAGGCTCTCAGAATTTTTTGCCTTCCCTGTTTTTCTGAAAATCTTCAAAGCTCCTGTCTGTATGGGCCAGACTGGTGAAGTAAATATCAAAAATAATCTGACAGAAGAATAATCAAATTTACTGTCATTCAAGGGAGTTATCAAACCTGTTCCTGAAGCTTGAAATATGTAACTGTGGGTCTGAAAATGTAAACAAGAAATTGCTCATGGCAAGCACTTATTCTTTTAAATGACATCAAGGATGGGCTGATGATGTTCTGTTAAGTGAAAAACATTTGCTGTGGCTTATCTTGGTGTGAATGCGCCCGCAGTGTAATTAAACATCCTGGCACCTCACCAACAGGTGAGTGATGGAGATAGGGAACCCGCGCTTTGCCAAATCAATAGTAATAAAGTATAAACTGAATGCACTTGGTTTGTCAGCTGCTTCACCAAAACTGCTGGGAATGTCCTTCTCAAATGGTTCTTCAAACTGCAGATGAAATTCTTCTCAACATGCTTTAGTATATTGCATTAACAAGTGTAATCAACCCCTACTGTGAGCCCAAGCTCAAAGCTATTTCATAAGGAGTAGGTGAAAGGTATATGTTTTGTTTGTAAAAATAAAGCTTAACTTTATTAACCCTTACATTTCAAACCAATGCCTTAAATATATTGTCATTTCTTTGTTTATCCTGTTTTGAGATGTCACTGTATCTGTTCATGATTGCAGGCCAATTTGCTATTATGCTCTCGACTTGTTTGGTATCAGCTATTTTTACATCTTTCCAATTGAACGGTTTCTGTTGAAGTATTTGCAGGTATACATATGCCTCTTGTATTTTCCAAGTAAAAGGCTGAAGACTGATAAAGACTTGGTGACAGTCACGAGGGTTTTGAATGACAATTAATTCCTAACAGGCAGTAGGTAACCAACCACAAAGAAGTAAGATGACACCAGTGTTGTAAAGAATGCCTCCTTGGAGGGTTAATGACATGGAAGTAAAACATTTTTTAAATATATAGGATTTCGCACCTGCACTTTTAGAAGATTTGACTGATAGTATATATCCAAAAATAAGAACTTCATTTTTTTAAAGTTTCATGAATAAAAAAAAAATAAGTAACCAAGTCATGAAAATGTGATAGTTCTAAACGCAGCAATAAAATCCATTGTCATACTGTAAGTAGTTTTCATCAAAGGTCATTAATGGTTTGATAGGTATTTTCTTAAGCCTTAATGACCCCTTATTATTGACAACTCGGAATTGATCACACATATGGCTAAGTGACCAATTGATTTTTTGTCCAGTTTGTTTGCAAGCCAAAAAATATATAAAGAAATGTGGAGTGCTTTAATTCTTCATACTACCAACATGCAAAAATCCACTTTAAGAAGTTTTATTGGGCATATGCAGTAGTAGGAAAAGGATGCTTTCAAATGGATACATTATATATATGCACAGAATGTGCACACTAAATATGACACATGCATACTTACGTATGTACACGCACTCTTATTGTCCACTGTAATCTAATCTCCTGCATATTTGTAACTCATTTTGTTATTTATTTATTTATTTATTTATTTATTTATTTATTTATTTATTTTTTATTATTATTATTTTTTATTTATTTATTTTTTTTTGTGTGTGTGGAATGAAGCCAAGACTCTATAGATCATAGATCATAAATGTGTTTTTTCCTCTTTTCTCATTGAATCAAGCATGTTAAAGATCATTTATCACATTTTCTTTGAGTGCAAATGCAACAGGCTAGAATGGTATTTGTTCCACTGTAGGTACATTAAACTAAACACAGAAGCTGCCTTAATATATAACTGCCAAAATTCTTCTGCAGAGGCAAAAATGGGTATCAGGGTAATGGCTCAGTCATTTCACTTCGGAAAAATTATTAATTTTTCAGACACCCAATATTGGAATCATTAAAAATACATTTTTTATGTAGCAAATTGGGGCTTTTATTGTATAGAAAAGAACTAGTAGGTTGTCTGCTTTTCAGTTGTGTTGCTACCACTCAAAAGGAATGTTTTAATTTTAAAAATTGATCACTTATAAGAGAAACTTTTCCTTCCCCAACAGGTACTTCCCTCAACATTTTGTAATTTGAAGTGAGAATGAGATGCCAATGGTTACTTTTTCTTTTCGCTTTTTTATTTTATATTTATGTTTTTTTACAAAATGCAGATTGACAGATGTACTATAGCAGTGCAAGACTATTGAGGTAAATTTTTGTATGAACTTCTTAACTAAGGGGGCCTGTGTCTTAAATACTATACAAAAAAGAGTGGATAAAAAACAAGCAAAAAACTACATGACAATATCAATTTAATATACAATATAGCGCACTTTTTAAAAGAATAACTTACAATGAATTTGTGCTTAATGGCTTTATGATATCATTTTACAGATTAGGTAAATTAGTAAGCATTTGTCTACTGTTGATAGAAAAAAACATGAGCTGGCTATTATCAATTTGCAAGTTTTGCTGATCCATTCTTATTATAATAGTGATGTGATTGAATACTTGAAAGCACAATTATCTAATCACATTATCACGTTTCACAAAATTTGGCTTTATCTTACAGTGTCAGCTGTGCATGTTTTTGCACTCTAATTTCAAAATGTCCTGATATATTTACATTAAGCACAAATAGTCCATTTCATTTAATTATTTCTTTGACAACAGTGAAGAGAATTGCCAGATTCTCCTTGGCGTTCATGTCCCACATGCACCCAACTCAACTGCTACATTCATACATATTTATGAGCTGTGGACAATTATAGACAACTGCCGATAAAAAAGGCCATTATATTTTTAGCGTTGAATTTAGACATCAAAGAACAAATAATCTGAGTTTTATGCTCCATTACAAGCGGGTTATATGCTCTTTATGATACGTAATTTTCTTTTTGCGTGGTACTTAAATTGATCCCTGTATAATGGCTTAGCATTATCAGTCTCTCCGAATTCCTATTAATTGAATCAGTTAAGGTAATTCCACAACATTGTACACATAATTGTATGGTCTTTATACAGCAGCTAAGTATACATCCATTTTCAATATGTATAAGTTGATTTGTTAAGGTAATTATATTACAGTTACTGGTGTGTCTGGGGTTTAATTGTAATACACAGGATCCAAAACAAATATCGATTAACATTAGTTAATGAAATCAAGTAACAAAAATTCTCTGGAGATGGTTGTGATTTTCTTTTGAGAGAGAACTTAGAAAACTTGTTCACGAAGGACAGCTCAAGTATCTTTTCTTTCTATAAAATCCATGCCTTGGCAGTCGATGTTTGTTTTAGAACCACTGTGGACTTTCTTGTATTTGTACATGACATGTTGTTTGAACTAATAATTTTTTAAAAATATGTATGTACAGTACATCTCTTTTCTTAAAGCAAACTTACAATGAAACAATGTTTTTTTTTTTATGTCACGGATTTCATCAATAACTTAACCGTTCATTAACTCCGTTTCTGCTGTAGAAGTTGCCATGATCAAATTCATGTCCACGTCACACTTACGACAAACAAGGTGTCGGCATTGCATTCTGAACACCGAGCTCGCTACATCATAAATAATAAAATTTACAGCAGAGTTAATAATAATTAGATTACCAGACAGAACATTGAAATAGTGGTAAAATGCATTCATCCCTGGCGACCACTCCTCTCTGGTCAGCCATATTGCGCGGACAAATATTGATGGAAAAACACATATGGCAAATACAGTTATAACTATTATAACAACCCGAGTAACATTATCTGATTGTCTTCCTACTCTTACGTTATTTCCAGTCCTTCTTCTGTTCCTTTCTCGGACAGCTCGGACCAGTTTACAGTTCAGCACCACAAGAATCAATAATGGTATTACAGCCCTGAAACAAAACAGGGTACCATGGTATATACTTTGATAGTGTTTATCTGAGAGCAGAACTGTCTGTATTGTGGGACACTCTGGCTGTAAAAAGCAATATTCATAACCAATGCATTCGAAGAATCTTGGCAGACTGATGGCGATGCTCAGTAGCAGTATGGTGATGATGCTTTTCCTGGCGCGAGGGATGGTGCACCATTCCTTGGCTTGAAGGGGCCGACACACAGCTATATACCTGTCAATAGTGACGGCAACTGTTAACCAGGCAGAGGGCAGGCGAGCTGACAGGGCCAGGGGCGTGAGGATACAAAACCTCACTGCCATGTAGCGTTGGTCCATGAACTCAAAGTGGTGCCCCACCAAAACAGAGTATTGTAAAAACATTGTTATCAACAGCAGGTTGTCCAACACTGCTAGATATTGTAAGAAATAGAATGTCGATCCTTTGTTATAATCTCTGTTGATAACAATAAAGGAGAGAGTATTACCTATGATCCCAAGGATAATAACAAGGATGCCAAATGCCAAAAAGCATGTCACCTCAAACTGCAGTACCTGTGACAGGAGTCCTGCCCGGTCATTGTACTGTCCACTAGTGTTTCCATATGTATTGTTTGTGTCATTCAAAAATCCGTTCGTCGCAGACATTTTTATTAAAGTCTCCAACTTCCACAAATGTACATATTCATGTTGACTGTCCATTATTTTCTTGTCAGTTCTTGGATGGTGAATGTTTTATCTGTTTTTTATTTCTTTCCCTTCTGTGACAGAGAATTTAACAGCTCACTTCAAAAATCACACACTATTTTTGCCTTTCTTGTATTGGCCCCAGGGCAGTCACAGGCCACAAATGTTCCTAACCCAGTGAATTTTCACAAGCTGTGTGGTACTCACTGCTTTTATTCCTTTACCCAAGCAATCTTCAAACACTGTCTTCTTGCTTTGCACTGTCTTTTCTCCTAACTTTGATCCTACAGTCCAACGGATTCTAAGTGCCTTTTCTCATATACCCTATTCCTGCCCTTTTTGCATCACCATTCCCTGCATTTGATCTGAAAATATGTGAGAAAAAAAGGAAAAGTCTTACAAGCCCACCTTTGTGTTAATGATTGTTTAAAGTCTCTCTCATTCAACTGACTGAGTTGTTTTGTTCATCCCAGCACTGCTCGTGCAGGTTATTTACCTGTTGGATTACCACTTCCCAGACTTCAAGTTGAATAATCAAATGAACCAATCTAAGGAGCTGTCACTTTGAGCACCAGGGGGCAGTAATGGGCTGTTATGTTCCCATGCAGCGCTTGCAGTGGCAAACTCTGCAGAGAATAGATAGACTGGCTTACAGCCTCTCATCTCCACTCACTGTGTTAAGAGCACACTGATAAAATTCTCTTGAGGTGCTATTAGGACAGTTACAGCTAAGGCAGCGTGGTATGCTATTCTCTAGGAACCTGCATAGTTGTACCTATGGGGTTATACTAGTGCAAGTATGTTGGCGTTGTGTGGATGACCCAATTGCACCGATTCTGGTGCATGCATGCTGTAGTATTTTGAAAGTTTAATATTTCATGTGATTTGAAAATGTTCACATTGATATGCATCATGGCGAATGAGAGAGAAAGAGAGAGAGATGGAGAAAGAGAGAGGTGGGATTTGTTGTATTTCACTTTTCAGTTAGGTCTTTAAAAGTTTTCAGCAGATTTTTTTTTTCATTTTTTGTTCCTGATACATAATTTCTAAAGACAGCTTACATACTTTATCTTTTAACAGTGCTATTCATTAGAGAAAAATCTGCTGAAGCACTCAAAGGAAAAAACATCTTTTTAAGTATGGCTTTTTCCTCTCCGCCTCTCTGTCTCTTTTAGATCATACAGTTTTTTTATTTTAATAGGATAAGGCATTGTTTCTTTGGTCAATGTGACAAAGCATTTCTAAGGTTTCCATGGGTAATTAATTCTCAGTCACAAGTTTATGACAAAACCATGTTAATTTTGAAAGGCTTCTTTTCTTTCATTAGTCATAACCGTCATTTGTGACCTGTACTGTAGATCACAGAATTTGCTGGAAGGTACTTTTATAATTTTAAAAACATGCTACAACTTATTAACCAAAGGAAATTAACAAGGAGGTCCAGTGATGGTAGTAATAATGTCATGAGTTTTAAATTAGTGGTCTTGAATTTTTACAGTAATGTTGATTTGGGGTCTTTGTTTTTCACTGGCTAAGGTCAACCAAAGTACTGTACAAGCTGCTTATATATAATAAGCAGGGTCATTCTATCTCCTTTTGAACATCTAATGCAGCTGAAATAATTATATAATGGCTTTGACTGTTGGTGTCCTTATTATTAGGTATATTGCTAATTAACAAATGGCGTTGGTAGGGCCAATTTATTTATTTATTTTACAGTGATTGCGTACACTACTCTTGCAGTTACTGGGTATAAAATTGATTTTTTTCAATGAGCAACAGAGTTACACATATAAACATGTATGTCTTGCTGTGTTTGAACTTAACCTTTAAACTTAAATGATTATTTTTCCTTTTCAAGATATGGAAAAAGTGTCTGTTCATATTCTGCACAGTGGTGTATGTTATGAAAGCCTTAATAAGTGAGAAATCCCCAGTCTTATGTCACATGTTGAAAACCATGACATGTTATCAATAATGTGGACATGTATTTCCTTTGAGTGGCAAGCAGAACATTAACTTGTCTCTGCAGTCAGATAACATGTTAGAAAGTTTCTTTATTTTCTGACTCTTCATATTTGTATCTACCAGTGATCTTGGTTTATATAAAAATGGGGCAGTATTTGAAGAAACATAAATTCAGTTGATAATTATATTTAATGGACACATTGTGGACAAACTTTAATTTGAACAGATAATTTTCAGTGTGCGTACATATTCTGATTTCTTGTGTATGACATTGCCATGTTTGTTTTGGTATATATCCAACACATTTTCTATCATCATAACTGCCAAACCATATTTTTTGTTTTTTATTGATAAGGAGGTTTTGGCAAAAATGCAGGATGAGTTTAGAAATCAACATGAATATAATGGTTCTAGCATTTTTATTAATTGAAATTGAATCTAGATTCTTTCTCTTTCTCTCTCCTGTTTGTGACACTCATCCATCATTTATGAAGTGTTGCTTTTTTCTTGTTAAGGGTGAACAACCTTAGGACTATCTGCACGATTGATTGCAAAGCAAGCAACCAAGCTTAAAAAATTGTTCAATTACTGAAAGAACCAAGTTTAGAGACGATGGCACTAGAAGTAATCTGTTAACACTGTGCAAGTGGCTTTCCACTTAGAGCAAAACTTTCATTCACGGGTTTATCAGATCAAGACGATTCATCACTGAGCATAACATGGGAAGACTTTCAAGTGTTCTGTTTTTAATATTGCTGCTGTCTTTTTTGAGATCATTGCAAATTGCCAGTTATGTCAAAATTGTAGGAAAAAGGGCTTTAATCGCAAGCTTTTAGCACTGAATCTTATCAGTGTCGTGTGTAGGCATAGTTTTATCTTTTTATCACAAGCAATCATCATTGCCTGCAATATCAGGTAACATTCTAAACCTTTTGAATAAAAACCTCAAAAAGAAGAAAATGCCCTGTGTGCTTACTGTACCTTCTGTCAACATGTAAATCAATGAGTGTAAATTGGAAAACTGTTGACTTTAAACAGTAGCAAGGTCACTTGTTCCTATTTTCACAGACTTCTTCTGTTAATGTTTGGTGTGAAAAACAAATTGAAACTTAAACAAAAAAACGTTTTTCACAGACTGGCGGAGTTGTCAGTACATTCACGGCATCTTACTAAAACAATCACCATTGGCTCCAATGACTTGCCATTTCAGTATCTAACCAACGGCTCTTGAATGAAACTTTCTCTTTAGTTCACCTTACTATATACCTATTTACTCAACAGCTACTTTAAGGGACAATAGCCCATTCACACTCAACACATAAATGTATTTGTATCATGGTGATCCAGGCCCACTTGTTTGCCATCTCCATACATAAATATCAGCAGGTTTAACCCCAGTAATTCCATAGCTGCTGGCATATCACAGTGCCAGTGATGTGGCATGCGAATGCACAAAGTGCATGTTATTTGCAGAAATGGCGTACGTGCACTTCTTTACCTGATATATTAGATAATCACGATCGTAAGAGGCAAACGATTGCAAGATGCATGCTGTTCGACGCCAACTAGAAGCTAATTACCAAAAGAATTCATACAAAAAATATATAAACATGTATGTGGTGGTCTTGTTTTGTGATTTTATTTTAAAAATATAACAATGATGAAGAGATGAGCGTGGATTTATTACTAATTTTGATTTAATTGAATTGGATTTGAATATTACCAGAACTCTTGAACCACTTCTTGGGGCTTGTGCACCTGTACCACAAAAAAGTAATAAAGTTATAGATTCATGGGTAAAAGTTTTCAGGATTATGCCTGATTTCAGCATTTTCATTTTTCATTTTGGTTGATTTTTTTCATATGGAGTAAATGCAGTGAGAAATTGCAAGCTTCATTTTCAGTTTTTACACCTCTTACCCATTGACATTCCTTCTTTTTATTTTTCCTCTTCTTCTTGCTGTGTGTAAATTTCTGTTCATAATTTCTATTAAGTCCCCACTTTATGCATGTTTTTACAAAAAAACACACATGGCTTGTCTTCATACAAACTAAACCATGTGTCTGTTCAAAAAAGTGGACCTTACAGTATGGTAAATGATCACAATGAATCAAACATATTGACCATTAAGTATTAAATTCAATATTTGAATCACTCTTATGTTGCTAGCTGTATTTTGCCATATAGATGCATTAAAAGGGTCAGGACAAATGTAAAGGTAAAGAAAAAACACACTTACGTGCAGTTACACCCGAGTTGTGACATGGTGGCCATGTCTGGATAACATTCGTCTTGAGTGAGTTCCTGTCAAGAAGTCTTTCGGTTGGCCACCTCACAGCATTTAAATACTGACCTTCAACCAGGTCCTGGTGTTTAAAAAGAAAAAAGAACTACTTTTTTACACGTGGAGTGTATTCAATTTAAAAGTTTGATTTACGTGAGCTGTAGGATCAGTAATGCTTATACGACCATGATGCAGCTGATTTAAATCAAAGCGGAAAGTAAATTTTCAGAAAAACGTTTGAACTTGAAATGGTATCTTCTTAAATGAGGAAAATAAAAATCGGTAACAGGCATGTAATTTGCTCTACGGCTTTGGTTACTGAAATGGAAGATCAGTGTTGATTGGGTTGCTTGAAAAGCCCAGCTCACTTTTCTAAACACTGTTAAGCAAAGGTTGACTTGCCAGTTGGTAATTACCCAGTAATAATCTGTCCCAGTTGGACTCTTGTACGGTGTGGAAAGGTGCCTGTAATTTGTTTTAAATGAGCAAATAATGGTTGGTACCAGTGATTGTGAATGGTTGTGAGCATACCTGATGAATGGATGGTGTGATGGAGTTTGTAGAGTTAGTCCCCTTTCACCGGCTATCATAATAAGAGCAGATTGAATTATGCCAGTTGGTATACCAATTACCATAGCTATAGGGCCAGTTAGAGTGCTTTCAAGATTTTTTTATTCTAGATGCAAGAATACAAAATAAGACACATAGTTACATTTTATCTAAATGGTTCGCCAAGGATTGTTCCTCAGGACATCTTTAATCAGTATATTTTTTATATTGGTTGGTTCCAAAGATCTGTAATATCAGAAGGACAGTTAATTGTGGTTAATTAGCATTAGAATATTATACCATATTTGAGATATTTGAACAATAGTTATGAGAATATTATACCATATTTGAGTTATTTGAACAATAGTTATGCAAATAATAATGGTTCATAAATGATGATGAAAATCTGATTGAATATCATGTGCTGATGCTAATTATAGAGATGGCAATAATTTGTGTTTTGACTGAACATTCACATTTAGATTCAGTATTTGAGGGCTAATTTCCAATAAAATTATTGTTCTATGTACATAAGTCCTACCCTTGGTGAATGCAATCATGTAGATTAAAAAGATAAACATGCCGTTTCCTGGCATTGAATATAGAAAAGCTGGTGATTATATGAGTACATTGAAAATGAGGAGGTGTGTTAATCTGTTTATCTGATTGCAATCAGCAAGAGTCCCCACAGAGTTAGATCGATCTTCATAGAATGAAAATTATACTGGGAATGAGTCCTCTAATACTGTATCCAAATGTGAATGTTCACCCAAAACCCAAACCACTGTCATCTATTAGAGAGAGAAAACCCACTTTGTCACTTATGATAGTTCCAGGAAACAAATATTAATCTTGATTTATCACAGAAAAAAAGTCAGTGGAACATGTATACTTCAGCCTTCATCTTAATATCATAAGTGCTTCAGCACTAGGCCACTACTTGATTAATTATACAAAGTCAGACAAACTCTGTCATGGCTATAATCAATTTTCCATAGCAATCATCACAATGACAATGAAAATTCATTTCCATACTGTTACAGTGACTGTCGCTCAATAAGTATGGCATACACCTTACATACCATCCTATTATTGTCAGTGCTTGTATTCATCTTTGAAATTCAAAAAGGACATGTACTTGCATATTTAACAGTATTTATATACCAGTTCTTATATAAGTGATGCAGAATAATCCATGTGCTTTCCACAGTAGCATTTATAAAAAGAGTAATTACGAAAACAAAATTCAGAAGAAGCAGCATGCAGCACAAAAGCAATATTATCAGTAGTTTACAGTAGTTAACTATAACTTATATAAGCTAGAAGCCACTATAAATAAGATTATATTCGCATGATTTTTTATGGTAAATTCAATTTATTTTTTATCTGAGTCTGTAAATATTGTTTTTGTAAACTGATGAATGTTTCAGAATTTATGAGATTGATTGATAAACTCAATGTGTTAAGAAAACATTTTGTATGTTGATGACTGAAATAATAATGCAAAAATGCTGCACATTACCTAAGTATTTAAAGAGCTGTTCTTACTTATGTGTAAAACTACAAGGTAATTCTGTGTTAAACGAAGTTTTTAGATTGAGAAGGTGATGAAGGCATCTCGCTTTCATCAGTCTGTCTAGAACTGCCTTTTAGAGATAAGCCCTTTTATCTCTCTGACTCTATCTTCTTGGATAGCCCACATATTGATGATTATGTGCTGTCAGAGAATTTCATCAAGTGGGTGTCAGAGAATTTCATCAAGTGGGTGTCAGAGAATTTCATAAAGTTGGTGTCACAGATGAGAGATTAGGGGAGAGAGATAGTCCCTATACTGGAGCATGTTTTCTGATATGTTTTAGAATTGTTTCCAAGAAATAGGCTTTTTGATTGCAATTGAATGTCTGGGCCACAGTGGAAGCCTGCATTTGTTATCTTTTGGTTAACTGTCCCACCTGCCCACAGCTTAACTGTGAGTGTGTGTGAGTGTGTGTGTGTGTGTGTGGTGGGGGGGGGGGGGGGGGGGGGGGGTAAACATAGGTAACTCTTATTGGGTCAAGACTTAAACACTTGATGAATCCATAAAGATATGTTCTGTAGACTACATGTGGAGAGAAATATTACTCTATACAGTTTCCAGCTGTGACATGGAAACTAAACTACATACTCTTCTCCATTGTTTTAATTCAAACCATGTGTTTAAACTTATAAACTTTTCAGGTAATTAAATAAATTTATTTTCCCACATCATTTGCTTTTTATTAATCTGCGGTGGAAAAATATTTATCCTTGACAAAAGCAAACTTTTGAATCACAGCTTCAAGTCAGTCTGTTGCTTGCCCCTGTTGTCCGCTGGTCGCCTCATGCTACTTTATTTTCTAAAATCACCGCTCCAGTCTGCTGTACCGAAGATATTCAATTTACCAGCTTAGGATAAAAATAAACTTTGTAAATTCCATGACATACCGCCTCCAGGGAAATCAAATGAAAATAATGGCCATATCGCCATTAGACCCAAGTCATTGCAAAATTCAGGAAGCGTGGAGAAATTTCCAATGTTGTCCAGGTGTAATTGTGGGCACATCTGTTCTAAATGATCAGCCAGTGGCACAGATAGATCTTAGTTATAAGGATGTTCATTTATGGTTATCCTGTAATAAAGTACAAAGTTGTTAAAGCCGTGTGCGTTTGATGGATTATCTAGATGGAGTTTAATAGTAAGGGATTTCTTGGTTCAAGAAACTACTGAACAGATGACTTCCGGATGGAAGGCTGCACAATCTTGTATAAAGTTGCTTGAAGAAATATAAAGAAATCAATTAAATGTATCATTGATGTGATTTTGAAAGGTAATTCATGTTTTGAGTTTCAGGAATGTTCAATGTAAAACATTCATTCTCTAATGCACATTGCACTAATGAGCTTATAGACCTGCTTATTTGCCTGTAACCCACTGATGATAAAAAAAACATGCCCATTAACAATGACTTAATGGGCTTTGAAAAAAGTGTTATTTATAATTGTTTGATAGATTAATGTTTTTTCTTGGATCTTATTTTTTTTAGTTATTGTAATCCCAAGTCATTTACTATTGTGATCTATAACGTGTTTATGCTCAAACTTAATGTGTAAAACTCCTGTCTATTGTGAGTGAACCGTGGATTTTGTGAACACCTGTAGGGTCATCAATTGGGGGTGTAAATCATTAATTGCAATTAACCAAGACTTCTTTATCAATATGAGCCTTTCAGAATCTCTGTTGAGGTCTGACTAAAGAAAGAAGTGCAAATGCATTACATCAGTGTTATCTTTAACTTACAATGAATTTTGAATATCTGTTTTGAAAAACAAGGTTTGGCAACAGAGGAGAGATCAGCATTAAGAAAACATGTACATTAAGGGTCCCTTGTGGAATTTTATCTAGCTTAGGTAAATCCTAAGGATGTTATTTGTTTTTGATGAATAATTGTTTAATTAAATGAGGCTTTTGAAGTTAAGAAAATCAATAGCTTTTGCATTTTCAATACTTGTCTGAATCATATACAACCTAGCTTTCCGCATTTGATTTATGTAAGGTGTGGTTTTTTATTTTGGTCCTTTTTTTATTATGAAAGAAACATAATATGTTCTACGCTTCTCTGTGAAATGTAAGCATGTTTTAAGGAAATCAATGTGCACTCATGTAATGATTCTGTTAATGTAGATGGTTGAAACAATTTACGGTAAAAGGCCTGAAAAGGATTCATTCTTGGAATTCTACTAAGAGATTTTCAGAGGTAATTACATGTCATCTTTCTTATGTCACCTTATCCATCAGAACAAAGAGCTGTTTGAATTTTTAGTTAACTGCATGTTAACACTGGCAGTGGTTTTCATTATATGTAGGTAATCAGTCAGTGCAGTTGACATCCCGGCCTAGAGCACAATGTTCACTTTTTACTTTACAAGTAGTTTGAATTTAAAACTGAATTCTACAATCATGCCTCTTATTTTAAGGTACTGGCAGCATTCATTGTGCCATCAGAGTTTGAAGCTCTCTTCCCCTCATTCCCTGCCCCCAGCCCCTCCCCCCCTCCTCAGATGTACTGGTATTGGAACAATTCAGACTTCCACAGGGTCAGTTATTTTAGTGAGTTGACCTTCTGGTCAAATCAATCTGCCATCTTGGATCTACATGTACTCCATGTCTCAACATGAGCCAAATGCCTCATCGATAAGTTCTCAATATGTCTTAATTATTTTCAGTTATCTAAAAAAATCTCTGATCCTATAACAAAGCAGTTATAGACTTTGTGCTTTGGTCACTTCTCCACTAGGTTCAACCTGAAGCAAGGATAATTGACCTCTGCCTTTGGCGTTGATCAATTTTCCCAGCTTCAAGTTGAACCTAGCCAAGAGGTGACCTCAGACAGTCAATACTTGTATACTACATGAACAAACATTAGGAAGGAATAGAAATCAGACTATTTATTAATAGGTATTTATATATTATATTGAAGTTGTTTTTAGATGACATTGAACATTTTTCTGACAAAA